TCGACACGCTTCACCATTTAGCACGACGGCATTAATAAAAGACTTTGTCTCAGTACATTGAGTGAGGTTTTTACTTTTCAATTACATACTCAGTTCAAGTAGTCTTTCACACAGAACGCTCGATAGGACCTTATATGAGAAATTGAGGAGGCTTATCCCACGGTAATCGGCTCTCAAACCCTTCTTATTCCTTAAATGAACAGTCGTAATACGAACTTCTTCGTAGTAATATATGAGGAAGGTGCGTTTCCATCTACGTTAGTTGCTATTTCACTGCAATTCTTATGGCTCGAAGACTGTTTCTTCCATAAACTATACATGTGCATGTTTTGATCTGAAAACCTACTGTTAGTCGACTAACCTTTTCGTAGAAATTTCGAGCACTACCACGCTCTTCGTACTCATGTATTTCGGTTTCTATCTTTACGCCACGCCAGTAATAGGTTTAACTCTAACTTGGCTGCCGTGATAGCCTGATGGTTAACTTTGCTTTCTCCCACTCGGACGGCCATGGGTCGAGTCTTGGTGATAAAGACATCAAAAAAATTTTCTAATTGCGTTCGACACTCGACAAGGAATGTCAACCCCTCCGAGTGTATTTCTCCGGAGGCGGCTTAATATAAACTGTAAGCCTCTCCATTTGTTGAAAAGCCTCAAGACGCATTTTGCAACCGAAAAACGCTTTAGCGGTTACAAAGCGCCAATTATATATGTAATAGGTCTGGTTTTCTCTTCAACTCTCGATATCTATACCATCACTCACGTATTGTTATCAATAGAAATGATACGAGGCTTTAGAGCATCTCGACATTACTCTTCGTTTTAGCTCTTCGTTTGGGATTTTCGAGAATCAATAGTTTCTCTAGCGGCGGTATGCAGGAAGCTTAAAATAACGTTAAACAGTCACCTTATATCGTCGAATGCTCTCAGAGAGCCGTAATGCAAGTAGAGTACAGAAACTACGATAATTTTATGTACCTAGTTATAGCTAGAACTATGGAGCTGACGCACATCTTCTACACTGAAGACATGTCTTGAGTCTATCCCAACATAAACGATATGATGGCTTGTGTTGGCATCTAGTACTCAAGACAACCATATGGAGTCGGACGAAGGACTTTAACATCAGATCAGTTAAGAGATCGCTAAATTTTTCGATTGTTTTTCACATTCTGGCACTTGAAAACATATTTACAGAAAACATATTTTGTCATATCGTCTTTCTATTCCGTCGAAGCGTCAAGCCGAATAAGTGATACCTCTTCAACGAGAGGCGGTGATGTCAGCGTTAATATTAATGAAGACATTACGTAGCTGACTAGCGCCACCTTTCCAATTAAAAAACAAAATTTTCCAGGTGCTGCCTATCCTTTTGAGTTGGTTTTAAGTGGTCGCGAGCCCACTACATCGCTGTAGTAGTTGGGGTGAACAGACGCTTCAATAAGGCTTCGATGAATCCTTCAATCAGATATATCCGTTTGGTTCCACCAAGGCTCTACCCTATTGGATTTCACCACTCGCTCAAGGATTGTCCACATCTCTAAAGTGTGCGTCGAGGAGGAGAAAAAGTAATTGAATACCTAGGATGTGCCCTTTTAGAAACATACATAGTTTTCCATATTAAGAGACAGTGTCTTTTTTGGCAAGAATGAATGAAAATGCTTTGGTAGTATTTGTTTTATTATCCGCAGAAAGATAGCAAAACATTCACTCCTCTTCAAGAGACGATAAAAGAAGGTCCTACTTTCGTTTAGTATCTGAAATTGGCGTCGTTTACAATAAAAATGACTGGAAGAAGAATATTTGTTGTTGTTAACCAGAATCTAACTGATTTGCACTCTTAAGCTAAATAGTTCAGCTTCCTTCTTTTTCTCATATAAACAACTTCTTCATTTACCATACACGATGTCCAATGAACTGTCAGTTGTCCGCTAGCGAGATTTGAACCGTAGAACTGGAGCTAAAGTCATAATCGCTAGCCCCTTGGATGCCATTACGATCAAAGCTTTAAGGTAATAATAATTTTTACGATAAACAAAAATATCGATCGATTTGGTTTAAGCATTTGTTTTTCGTTTTTACTCGAAGCAAAATGCTACCGTTAATGTTAACTCGTTAACAGATAATGCAAAAACCTTAACAGATAATGTTAAATGTTAAAAGTGCAGCGCGCTGTTAATATCATAGCACGCAGCTATTTTAAAATTAACATTAACACTGAGCTTGGGCAGTTTCAGCATTAAAAATTTCATTACGTTTCGATAACATGGCGCCGAAAATCATTTCGAAAAGTTTCTTTAACATATTAACAAAACGTCATGACATTGTTTCGTTATGTACGCATCTCTGGTTACATTGCAGAGAGTAGTGATTTACAGCACACTGCAACAGAGCATAACAGACAATATAACATTTCTCTGATAAGCTGGAAATTAACATAATTTGGCAGTGGTGTGTTGAAGGAAGCTGGTTTTATACCTGCTAAGGGTGAACTGTTGGGCATTTACTGACAAATAGCGAATTGACTGCCATGATTTCATCCAGCAAACTATAATATTTAAGTAGAATCGTTGCTTGCTAATTTGCTTTCCCTGCAGGAAGGTTTGCCGTTGGCTTAGGCTTAAGTACTTTGGGTAGGTGTGTATTTTAAGTTCATACTATGGAAATACTTACCACTACTATTCCATAAATAAATGAAAACACCTTTATACTTTCATTTTCATACAACTAATATTCATCGATAGATTTCTTTATTATTATTATTCATTTCTAATATAAAGTTCTAGTCATAATTTGATGCGTTTATAATTATTTATAATTTTTGGCATACTTATATTAATTTACAACGGAAGAAAGAATTCATTAAAATTATAAAAAAAAAGTGACATACATACATATATTCGTTTCAATATCGCTGACAACTATCACAGAAAAATACTTCTCGTATATTAAATCAGCAAATTTTACTAAAAGCAAATAATAAAATAAAAAAAAATAAACAACACTGTGCGATTTCCCGTGCTTATGCATAATTACGTAATTCATATAGTTACTAGTAGATTTTATTATTATTAATTATTGTTAGTAATATTAATTACTATTATTTTTAATTTAAATTTTTATTATCACTTTTTTGTTATTTTTAACCTTATTATTATTATTCTTATTTATCATTATTATAATTAAAATTTTTAATTATTATTATTTATCACTACTATTGTAAATATTTACAATTATTATCATTGTTATTACTTACAATAATAATAATTATTATTAAATATTATAGTTTTTTATTTATTTTTTTTTCATTACACTTTTTAATATTTATCTTAATTATGTTTTTAATTTTTTAAAATTGTTTTAATTATTATTATTAATTATTATAATTATTAATATTTATATCTATTTGTTATTATTATTTTTATTTATTATTTGTTAATGTCATATTATTTATTATATTATTATTATTTTTTATATCTTATTTATTATTAATATTTTCAATTATTTTCTATTATTGTTTTTATCATTATTATTATTTTTTTTCTTTTTTATTAATGTAATTTATCAATGTCATATTTTTTGTATTAATATTAACTACTATTATTATAAATTATTTTCCATAATATATTATTAATATTAATTATTAAAATTATTAATAATTATATTTATTATTATTATTTATTATTATTCTTTCTAATATTTATCGTAATTATGTTTTTTATTTTTTTAAATTGTTATTATTATTATTATAATTATTAATAATTATATATATTTATTATTATTATACCTTTTTTATTATTTGTTAATGTTATATTATTTATTATTTCAGTATTATTTTTTGTTTCTTATTTATTATTACTATTTTCAACTAATAATATGATTTTTATTATTCATTATTATTATCATTTTTTATTTATTTTTTTATTAAAATAATTTATTATTTATTATTATTCTTTCTAATATTTATCGTAATTATGGTTTTTATTTTTTTAAATTGTTATTATTATTATTATAATTATTAATAATTATATATATTTATTATTATTATTTTTATTTATTATTTTTTAATGTTATATTATTTATTATTTTATTATTATTTTTTATTTCTTATTTATTATTACTATTTTCAGTTATTTTCTTTTATTTTTTTTATTATTACTATAATTTTTTTATTTTTTTATTAAAATAATTTATTAATGTCATATTTTTTATATTAATATTAATTACTATTATTATAAATTATTTTCAATTATATTATTATTATATTTATTATTATTATTTATTGTTATTCTTTTAAATATTTATCGTAAATATATCTTTTATTTTTTAAACTTGTTATTATTATTATTATAATTATAAAAATTTAATATATATTTATTATTTGTTATTTATTATTATTTGTTATTATGTTTATAATTATTTAGCATTATTATTATTATTTACCAATTTTTTTATTACAAGCATTTGTCCAATTTTATTATTTTTTATTTATTATAATATTAAAAGTTATTATTATTAATTATTTTTCATTACTTATTATTATTATTATCAGTTATTACTATTTGCTATTTTTATTTATTTCTATTATTACGACTTGTTATTTGTTATTATTATAAATATTATTATTGTTTTATTATTATTGGATATTATTATAATTATTAGTTATTATTATTAATATAATTATTTTTGTTATTCAAAATAATTATAATTGATAATAATTATATTTTTTGTTATTTTTATTATTTATATTTATTAATTTTATTTATTATTATTATTATCAATTAATATTATTAGTTATTATTAATTTTTAATAATATTATATATATATATATTTATTATTACAAGCTTTCACTACGAGTATTTAGCTATTTTAGTACACCGAACGCATGCGCAGTACATACATATATATATATAGTCATAATCATATATTTTTATGTATAATTAATAATTATTTTGATAGAAAAATAATCGTAAATATAGTATATAATACATACATATATATAAATATATATATATATATTTATATACTATATATATATATATATTTATATACTTGTAACTTTATTTATCAGTAAAAAGCTTTAATAGCCGCCAAAGCGGGATGCTGAAAACGCTCACGCAATATGGACGAACCCTTCATCTGTGCATTACCGTTCATTGTGCCGTTAGTATCGTGACTAATTGAACGACCGTAACCGATGAGCGAGTGCTTCTTGAATGGCGTACGCTGTGGCGATTGATTGGCGCTCTCCGGATAGGGATTCTTATTCTGATCATACAAGGCATTGTGACTATAACGATTGGCCTCGGATTTCAACGAACCCCAACGATTCTCTTCGTTACGCATTTGCAGTATACGCTCCTGTACGCTCAGATGAGAGCTATGTAGAGCATTGACTTGATTCAAATTATTTGTGAGATGTGTAATTTGTTTCGTGCGAAAACTACCGTTAAGCAAATTACCATGAGAAGAGCGCACGACCGATTCGTTGGCCTCACGCACTGGTGTGCGTGTGATAATTTCACGATAACTGGAGGGACGTTGATTTGTGGACGGTGGTGTATCGAGACCGCTGTCGTGTGCCGAATGATCCAAATCGGTAACGGGGATTTTCGTCGTTGAATTATTTGCATTATTGTAGTTGTTGTTGGTGGGCAGCATTGGTTGAACTGGAGAGAAGAAGAGAAGTAAAGAGGAAAAAGAGAGGGGGGGAGAGAGAATATTAAATAACAATTCAACAAACTTTGGTTTCATCATATATATATTTTTTTTTTTTTTGTTTTTTTTTCCTCACCTGAGTGCCGCATATCGGTTGGTGCTCGCGGCTTACGATACAACCATTCACCATCCACCACATTGCCATTCTCCAAGTCATTATTATTACCAGCATTCTTACTACCAACAGCAGCTCCTCCACCATATGCGTGTGGCCTGCGTAATTCGACCTTCTCCTCATCATCTGCCTCCTCGTCCACCACTTGATTCGCTGAGAAATCTTTATTGATAAAAATACGACGCGGTGAATCAAATGGTCCACCACCGCCAACAACACTTGCGCTATTATTGGTGAATGAGTTATTCTGCGAGACATAGCCATTCGAGTAACGACTGTGATTACCATTTTCGCCCTGACGTGAGTATGGTATCTTTTGCGGTGTTGAGTGATTGGTTGAGTAGCCTGAGATGCGCGGATGATGTTCGCTGTTGAGTGCACTCAAATCGGGCACAGAGTCGGAGAAGAGGAATGGATTGTTGCCAGTGCTGCCAAAACCACAACCGGTGGCAATTTTATTACGTCCGCCAATACCGCTGCCATTTGTCATCAGCCAATCTTCCAGCGCACTTGAGTAGCTGCTACCCAAGCCGAAGTGTTGCGATTCCAGTGCGGCATGCGAGACGGGTGCGGCGAGTGAGGCGCGCGAACGTGGACCTTGTGCGATTTTGAGTGCGTGACGGCGTTGTTTGGAGAAGAGTGTGCATTCCTGTGTAAGAGGAGAAGAGAGAAAATGTTGTAAATTTTGTGGTTAGAATTTTTATCGAACCTAAATTCCAAAAGTCGAATAAAAGGGGAGAAAAGTGTATAAAAAAACTTTGGATAGGGGAAAAATCACTTTTTCGAAAGAGCCAAAGTTAGATGCTAATATTTTTGCCGAACGAGCTCAAAACGGTTCTGTAGAGCCGACCTCTTATACTTGTCATTATTGAAATTTTTAAAGATATCGTAGAGCTTGTGCCATGACTAGCCACCTATAAAGCCTAGAGAATTACGGACCAGTCCAAAATCTTTGAATGACTTGCTTCTTCTCGAGCAGAAAAAAATTGGCGGTGGGTAAAGCTGTTGGCGATGTCTGTATACTGCGTGCAGGCGGCTTAACGACTACAAATATGTCTCCGAACCAGAAAAGGTTTCAGGGAGGCGGTCAATAGACACATTAGACATCACTTGGGTTCCAGGTCGAACTGATGAGAAAAGCTGTAAAACCGTAAACGTACTGACTCTCTTTGGTGCCACTGTGCCGCTGTTCTTATCAACTACCTCAGACCTTTAAACGTCGTTAAATGTTATATAAAGTAGTAGACTCTAGAGGACCATCTTAAGTCCGGGCGTACTTTAACCGTATGCACACTGAAGGCAGAGTAGACTTCAGACATTTGTTTGGTGTATTTACCCTCGAGACATCAACTCAACAAAACTTGGTTGGCAAGGCGTGAATGAGTTGTCAAGCAGAGCTCGTACGCATACAGGAGAGTCAAAAGTTCCACGGAACTAGTCAACAAATTCAGCGGTCAAGGTGCGATCAAACTCTCGATATAAATCAACCAACCATAAACCAAGAGCTTGAAGTCTGAGATAGTGCAGGCGTAACCAACTTGTAACTCAACTTTAGACATCCTAATATTGATTCTTTCAAGTTGACATTTCCGCTAATTTAAGGGGCACTCCGCTTAATGTGGGTGCTTTTTGAAGCTCAGAAGATATAGCGTATTTCCATCTTCAGTTGAACTCATGAGCGATCCTTTCTAAACGTGGACATTCATGACCTAATAGCCGTGCTAGACTCTATTATTACCCCGGTAGGATGCTAGGGTTGAGCTGCTCCATGCGGTGTGCTTTTCCAAGTTTTCCGAGATTTTGAGGGATTAGTCTTTGACCGGATAAAAATCAGAAGCGCCTCGGTGGCGTAAAGATCCACTTGTTGTGGGAACTACAATTTTAAAATGGCTAATGCTGCGGTTGATCTTGTTGTATTCAGGTGGATCTAGTGTAAAGAAAGTCTCTAAAAGTTTGAATTGGTTAATTCACTTTTTTAAGATGTCTCTGAAGAAACGGAGCGTATCGTTGTATGGATATTTTTACAAAAAAAATTAAATATTTGTTTCTATAACCCAAGGACCCTCTAGTAAAGCTGCCGGTCATGTACTTAAGAGATAACATTATTGTTAGTGTTTTTTCCTTTTTTGTTTACACAACTCACCTCCAACAACTCGAACCAATCCTCCAAACCGTTATCGCAACGTAATAAAATGCGACCCTCACGTCCCAATAATAAGCCAATTGCGCTATACGAACGTCTATTCAGCCATTCAACCTTCTCCACATCGACCAGCTTCACCTGTGTGAATGAAAGATAATAAAAGGGAGAAAAGAAGAAGTTAATAAAAAAAAGTGATTATTAAAAGTCAACGCCTACTGTTTTTATTAGCTCTTTCTGCTAAAGGAAATTGTAGTGGAAATAAATGCCCTCATACAAGTAAACCAACAACAACAATTATTGTAAATTTTCAACGCATTTATGTATGTATACATGTTGCAAGCCAAGTTGCAACGACCCACCGCTGTTTTGCGGGCGGCCAATGCAATATTCATTGTGGGAGTTAAATTATGACTGCGCTTTCATTAACTCATCCACTCATTCATTCATTCATTCCCTTCACTTCACTTCTCTGCACTTCCCTGTACTTCACAGTCATACAGTCATATTTACAGGCATTTGTTAGACGCGCGTTGGTCATTATAAGTGCGTTCATCTTCATTAGTGCTGCCACACAATGCGAGAGTTTGCAGTTAACGCTGTGTAAAATTCACCGTTTGCTTGCTACCCAAGCAACATTTAATGTTTGATGTGAACAACAGTTGGAATTGTGTGCAAAAATCTTTCTCAATAGTTTCTCAATAGCTTCTCAACTACTTCTCAAGTAGAGAAATTTGGCATGTCCAACAAAGGGAGTTTTTTATAATAGAAAATCAATTAATCTTTTTCTCGAATCGCCTATCAATAATTTCTCAACAGTTTCTCAACTACTTCTCAAGTAGAGAAATTCGGCATGCCCAACAAAGCGAATTTTTTATAATGGAAAATCTGTTAATATTTTTCTGAAATCGCCAATCAATAATTTCTCAACAGTTTCTCAACTACTTCTCAAGTAGAGAAATTTGGCATGCCCAACAAAGCGAATTTTTTGTAATGTAAAATCTGTTAATATTTTACTGAAATAGCCAATCTATAATCTCTCAACAGTTTCTCAATAGCTTCTCAACTAGTTCTCAAGTTAATTCCAAAACCGCCAAAGTTGTTTCTCAACAGTTACTCAACTACTTCTTAATTAGAGAAATTTGGCATGCCCAGCAAAGGGAATTTTTCATAGTGGAAAATCTGTTAATATTTTTCTGAAATCTCCAATCAATAATTTGTCAAGAGTTTCTCAACAGTTTCTCAATTTGCAAATATACTCAACGAAAATGAAAATTGTATTATTATTATTTTTCTAATCACCAAAGTTATTTCTCAACAATTTCTCGCCAGCTTTTCAGTTGGAATACCAAATAAAACCGGGATTTGTAAGAAAAATAATATTAAGATTTTTCTCAAATCATGAATTTTATTTTTTCCAAAAACTTTCAATAGATACTGAGCTGGAGATTTATAGCATGCTCAACTAAGAGTAACTTTTGGTATGAAAAATAAGTGAATAGTTTTCTTAAATCGCCAACGTTTTCCACAACGGATTCTCAAGAGTTTCCCAAACCAAGGAATTAGAACAAAATATTAATATGTTTCTCATAACGGCAGCTACTCGAATAGTTTCTCAATAGCTTCTCAGTAATTTTCCAGCAACACCTCAAACAATTTCTCAAACAGTTTATCAAACAGTTTTTCAACAGCTTCTCAACAGCTTCTCAAAAACTTCTTAACCCTTCCTAAATGGAGGAGTAAAGCATTTAGAACAATGAGATATTGATATTTCTTTATATATCTCCCAAATCCTTTTTAACAGTTTTTCCGCAGTTTCTCAATTGCTTTTAACCAGGAGAATTGTAGAAAACTCAGCAAAAATATGTGTTCAATGTAAAAAAAAAAATATAAGTAATTATTTTAAAATAGCCCACAGTGTTTCCCAACTGTACGACAGGAGTTTCTCAACAGGTTTTCAAATAGAGAGTTACACAAAATTGAGCAAAAAAAAATATGTTTATAACTGAACAAAAACTGAAACAAAATTCATATTTGTTTCAAAATGACAAGTTGTTTTTCTATAACTACCGTACAGTTTTCTAATAGTTTCTCAACAATCTCTCAACTGGAGAATTATACAATACTTCTAAATAGTTTCTCAACAGATTCTCAACAGCTACTCAAATGGCGAATTATACAAAGTTCAACCAAAAGGGGTTTTTTAATATGGAAACGTATTAATATTTCTCACACCTACATTTTTTCTCAACAAATTCTCAACTGTTCCTCAATAATTTACCAACAAAATCTCAACTGAAGAATTATTACACAGAGTTTCTATATTTGGAACACTGCTCAAATATATCTCAACCATTCGAGATATCAAGTTGAGAATTATAATTTTCTAAATCTTAATTATTTTTTAAATATCAAATAGGGAACTATAATTTTCTCATATGAAAAAAATAATAATATTTAATCTTCAAACCGCTGACCAGCTTGAGAGTAGTTGGAGAATGATGTTGTTATTTAATTAAATAAAAATCTCAAAGCTTAAAGAAATATGTTTTTGAGGTTTGCTAGTCACTCCACGCGGGTGCACGCTTGCTTTAAATGCTTGCGTTTTTTTTATTCAGTGTTTTTTTTATTATTGTTTTTTTTTTTTTTTTTTTCTTTTTTTGCTTTACCAGCAAATGCACTTCTGCAATTTTGATTTATTGCACTGCGCATGCGCATGGCGAAGTTTTCCCAACCTACTATATGGCATGCTATGTACTAAATAGACATAGGTATGTATGTACATACAATTTTTACTCATGTATATCTGTTTTGACATGCCTCTCGTACTTGCCTGGCGTTTATTACTTGGCGTTTCGACCACCTAATTGGAATTGCTGATGAAGAGTTACGCAGTTTGCAGTCATTTTTCTCTGTTTTTTTCCTCCCCACTTTTTTGCAAAAGCTAATGATTGGGTAATATCTTGGGAAAAGCGCGCGCAACTAAGAAAAGACAATGCAATGATTTAGATGCTTACAAAATAAGCGGAATAAAAATGAGCAAGTTTGTTGGCTTTGTTAAGGAGTTGGGAAAAATTACATGTATTTTTGTTGAGATATTTTTTTTTTGTTAATGCATATTTATTTCCTGGAAAAGTAGTGGTAGTTTGAGAAAATTAGCGGTTTCATATGTATTTTGCAACAAAAAAAACTTGCCATGCGGTGCATTGTTGCTAAGTCATGGCGCAATACCCAGGCGCATGTTAGTGGCACCTCTATTAGGCAAAGTAGAATTATTAAATTTTTATCGGGTAGCCAACATTTTATTAGCATAAACATGCTTGTGAGCTTTTTTTTTCAAAACAGTTATTTGACATGTTGAAAAAATTTGTATGAAAAATGATAAAATTTCTAGTTGGTTAATAAAGATATTAACCGTGAGAATGCGGCACTAAGGAGTAAGGCAGAAATAAATAATATATAATTATTTTAATAATATTTATGCTCTCAAACTCAATATAGGCTTAGTGCTTAAGTAGTGTAGTTATTTGTTAAATCTCAATGAAAGTTAAAAAGACTGGCTAGACGATCTCCAGCATAGTTCCAGCAGCAGTTTCAGACATTGAAACTAACACAAAATCTGTTTCCTTCACTCCCTCGGAAGTCGATATTACAGTCGACTTGGAACACTTCCACTTCGTTCAAAGAATCATTCGGAGAGCGTGCTGTTCTCACTTGCTGTACCCAGTTAGCAGCAAAAAGCGAAAAGAAGAAACAAACGATGCGCTAATGCTGATTCAGCCATAACCGCGGTACCTACATAAGGGAGGAACAATCAAAAGAGGAAGCAGTCATCATAACTACAGTCTTTAACGCCACCAAAGTTGTACCTTGTCCTCTTTCTATTTCAAAAGTGAAAGAACAAATCCAAATGGCAGAATAGTGTAATGGTTGAACCTAGGAAAACGATCATTAAACACATTAACGAAGCCAATAGAAAGAGCTTCTCGCAATATCACAAAACTTGCCTGAAAGCTCGCAATAAAACTGTAAGCAAAACACAAAGAGCATCTTCGAAAATCTATTGCCGTGTCGTCGAAAAAATAAGGCTAAGGAAAGCGCTCTACAAAAGAGTTCGGCTAAGCCAAACTAATATATGTATCTGCGAGTTAAAGCGTGTTCTTGCAGACATGTTGATTTCAAAAAGAAATAAAAATCATAAAATTTAATGTTATAATTGAGAATTAAGCTCTATTATAGAGTTAAAGGTTTGACAATATGTCTTAAGAATGATTTCGGGCAAGTAACCGCGGCTGGTTAGAATAAATTTCAACCGTGAGGCTCTCTTTTTGTAGAATTTGAGTTCGTATGTCAGCAATAATGCGCCGCCGAAGGGTCTCTTCCAAGGTATCAATCAGACAAGCGACTTCACATACCCTCCACAAGAAATAATCCAGTGGCGTTCAATAGCATGATCTTGGAGGCCACGGCATAGGACCACGACGTGAGTTGCGCCATCTCGTTGAAACCAAAAGTCGTCTATAACAACATCCGCCCATTCGGACACGGGAAAGTCATCAGACGTGTCTCTTAAAGTTACCCATATATAACATTGAGTCTTCCCTTCCGTAGAGCACACCAAACATTAACTTTTTGGGGCTATAACAGCGTCTCTGATCCAAATTTTGCTATCAAAATCGGAAACTGTGGCCATATTGTTTTGGGCGAACTTGCGAAACGTTTGTTGGGGGTTCGGCTGCAATTCTTGGATGAGTTGGATTTTGTTAGCCCACAAAACCTTAGATAACGTGAATGAGCACAGCTTCAACTGCTCGGAGGTCTACTTTGCACCACAACAATATTTGGCCCGTTGAAAACCACACGTCAAAGGACAAGCCTTTAGATGATGAATCCAGTATACCTTGATATGTTATTCAGGATTTTCTTATGAACATTTACTTTAAAGCTCCAAAATAGGTAAAACGGGTCTCTTCCTGATATCAATAGCATTGTATATATGTCGCGGAAGGGTGGAGTTGGTAATAAAATCATTCCAATTCCTTAAATCTCCAAAGTAAGTTGACTGAAATCATTAAATGACCATTTCTGGGTAAAGTCTGCTAAGTCTGCTTTTGTGAGCTCTCTCTCTGGGCAAAGGCCAG